GAATTATCAGCGCCTTCCGGATTAAAGGGGGTATACAAGCGGTATGCCTCCAATAATCGGTCATAAAAGACACTGGGCGCTTCATCACTTTTCTGAATCACCTCAACTGTCTTCGACATGCTAATAGCTTTCTTCCCTCCGGCTTTCATGCCAGCAATTATAGCATCTCTATAGGCTTTAAGTTGAGCCATATCTGCGCCATTTACATTCCAGTCAGGATCGGTGTTAGGGTAATGTGTTGCGGCCCATGCCGCCGGATTGGCTTGATTTAAAGCACGGGCTCTCTCCTCTAGCGCCTTAATGGCCGCTTGGTTAATCCTTGTCCTTTCCTCATTATTGAACAATGTCATTAATAACTGCTGACAATCAGCCCATGTCGGGTTATGTGTCTGAACTATCGAGGTGAACAGATCGGTCATAGCTTGTGGTTTCTCAGTGTACGAGGAATTGTGGGTCTTCCAATTCAAGAGATCGGTAGTCGTGAACGGACATATACGAAAACTGGGTCAGCATGTGCCATTTGACCTGCGGCATCGATATAGGCTGACCCAGGATTCAGACGAAGAGGCATCTGATAATGTTTTAATTGTTGGGTACCGGTCAGTTGTCGGGTTAGTATGGGGCTACGTGGAGGGGCGCCAGTTAAAGGTTCCGGTCGAGAGGTAATAGGGCATGAGGATGTGGGAACTTGATTTTGGGAAAAGTTAGTGAATAGTATACTCCGAGCCGAGCTAGAAGAAGCTTGACCGGAAGTTTGAAGTGGCGCCAAATCAGGATATTCAAATCTAATGGGGGTTGGTCCTGGTTCCGGAAAGGGAGTTTTAATACGAGGGGGGGTGGATTCTGTACTGGAGGAGGAAGCGGAAGTGGATGGGGGCAATAGGGGAAGGGGTGCAGAGCTTCCTGCATTCGCATCACTTCCTCTTAAAGGAAAGTAAGGGGGCGGCAAAGGGATCTCGGACTCAGGGGGCGTGTCCAAAATGGGCCTAACACCAGTCCTAGTGGACAACCAAGTCCTGGCCACCATGAGGCGACACTGCTCCTCGTGGCATATCCGGATCCATTTTGGCGAGTCGTTTACGGCCTGCCTCCAACAATCAATGTATGGAAACTGTCCGTAAAGTTCAGGCCTACCTGATACAGCCACGTGTACACGCTGTACCAGGGTTGGATCCAAACTGCCACGTGGCGGCCATGCCGCAACCAAAGTAGGCCACTCCCTAGTGCACAAAGTGACCAAACGTACAGGAGACATTTTAACCCCAAAATCACATGTTTTGAATCCCTTTTTAAAATTCTTTACCATACAACCCAAGGGATCCGAAATCGTTGACTCTGACGCGCCCATACTTATCAATGGAACGTCGTTGACAACGAATACTATGCACGCGTTCTTATTCAACAGTCACACCCGTTTCCTCTGGCAACAGCACCACGCGGTACAGTTACCGAGTGAAACGTACACAATAACACAATAATCACTCAGGGAATTCCCGTACACACACAGCTGTTACACCAGTCACTAAATAATCAATATTATGCCCTTTGGCGAAACTATACAGTCACCCACGCTATAATTCTCTATATATGAATTACCCGCCTATAACACACCCCAGTAACATCGTCTTTTACTAGTATCGGTTACAGTACGGTTAGCATAGGTCAAAGCACAATTTAAGGTCACAATACAATTATTAGTGGTTACGGTGTTAAACATGCAATAGACGACAATGATTAGTACTTATATACAGTGTCAGTAAATATACAGGGTTATGGTACCGTGTACTATGATACAGCAACACACTATTAACACTCTCGCTAGACGGCTGAGCTCGCGCTATCTAACAAGATATACACTTTACTAACAATCTTTAACACATTTACAATCCCAACTAAACTATTGGCCAGTACCTTGAATGGACTACCTAAAACTATATACACCCGTTTTGGTTAACCACACTGCCCAAGCACCACATATAGCGAACTAGAGGGCGGAATTTACAAAATTGCCCTTCTAGTCTATTTACTCTATCAAAAGTCTAGTGGGTTCCAAATTTACACGCCTTCCCACTTAGCCAAGATAGGTTGAGAGCTAGCGAACCGAATTTACACAGGCGGCGCTTAGTCTCCCGGTCCCTCCGACCTAGCGTTCGATCGAGCGGTGCGCCTTCGCTCCTTCCCTCCGACAGAGGGGGCAGATTCCATACACAGATTTAAACCCCTTTTGGGCCTACCGCACAATCGGTATACCCCTAGTGGGTCTGCCGTCTAAAGCAGCAGTTGTCTTACCTCCTCGTTCCTGAACCTGAGTTCACACTCATCGACGGGGACACCCCAGCACTTCTTACGTAGAGGCCGATGATCTCCTGGACAACAGACCAGTGGCGCCGAGACGAAGGGAGGTCCACGCAGAAGTTCAGGGGCGCAGCCGTAGAGAACGTGGGCAAAGATAGACCGTCTCACGCCTCTGCCTCTCAGCTACCGTTGAACGATGAGCTTCCCGGCCAATGCACCAAATGATACCGGAGAAACTGACGGAGGCAAAGCACAGAGGGATGGACACAGGTTTCTTCAGGAAGGAAGAGATTCTTTATTGGATCACCGATCGGGACTCAGAGGGACTAATGTCACCAAAAATACAGCACGTTCTGAGCCCTGAACAATAGTGCAGGCTCCCTATATAGGCACATAACTCCTCCCATATTAAGCTCCACCCGCACATTCTCTTGACCAATCATTACAAATAAGAATTAACTTCCTGCTTGACCGCATGGCTTGTCCAGCACAATGGAGGAGGGGAATACTACATCCTGTATTCTTGCACATGCTCCGTACACTACTGATCGTATATCTCGCCTCGTGCAACCAACTGATCGATACGTCAGCATATGCACGTACACATGCCACGTGGTAATCTCGGCCTACTAAATTTATTTTTACCGAGATTCCACCACACCACCACCTTAGGAATCTTCTTCCTGGGGTACAGTGTTTTCTGTAACCTTCCAGTGCCTCACTGCTCCCTTGCCCTGCAGTGATGCCAGGAACCATAGTATGATGTCTCTCCTGCCCCAGCATCACTAAACAGCGCACAAAGGAGCAGTGAGGAACTGGAAGATTACAGTAGCCACTCGACCCCAGGGAGAACACAGGGGAGGAAGGGGGAGTGGCAAAGCATGACATTTAGTGCTATAAGTTAACCGTATTGTCACTTTTGATTCAAATTAGATTTTTTTTCTTTTTAGGCACAATTTGAAACTTATTTAAGAGGAGACTTTTGCCTTCTCTTCGATCAACAGGAGCAGAAGGAATAAGAAAAATTTAAAATGAGAATTTGTTCTCCCTGTATTTGCTACTTTGTCATTTTTACATCACCTATGCAATTGAATTAAAGGGACAGTACAGGCACCCAGACCACTTCAGCTCATTTAAGTGGTCTTGGTGCATATTCTCCAGGTCCCATAACCCTGGAAAGGTAATTATTGTATTTTCTTAATTAACTGCAATAATTAACTTTATGGGTTAACTTCACCTCTAGTGGCTGTCCCAGAGAACTTCCGGGTCGTTAGGCGAGTGACCCTAGACGGCCTCATACTGTGCATAAGGACATCCAACGTCATCTGAAACCCCATAGGAAAGAATTGCATAATTCACAGCTATGAAGCTGTTCAAATGCAAGTGCAGCAGTTGGCACGCATGCACATTAGGTCACTCTCGCCGGCTGATGGCCAGGGGGGAGCAAAGTTGTACCCTAAGCCAGCACCGAGGGACATCAGCGCTGGAACAATGTAAGTGACAGAAGGGGTTTTTAACCCCCTGTGCACCACGTGGGGTGGGGGGCACTATAGTTTTCCTTTAGATTACAGGTAGTGTAATGGAAAAACAGCAGACTACCTGGGTGTATAGGAAGAAAGATTAGCTGGAGAGACAGAAATAGGTATATCATGTGTAATTGTCAGGACCATACAGTGGCCCAACACGCAGAATTAAGTTAAACACGGAGAAAATACAATGTATTACCTGGCCTTAAAATGGACAGAATTAACATACAAAGAATAGACAATAAGACCTTGTAACAGATGCCCTGTTCCTGGAGATTATTGTTTGCTTTGCCTGAATCAGCATGCAAATCCAACTGAACAGATTTGCCCCAGCTGGTTCGTATACCGAATAATGTACCGAACACTTGAACCAGCTAGAGCAGTCGTGTGCCGCCAATTAACCTTAATAACACTGTACGTTCTAAGTGGTTCATTAGGTGGCCGCCGCTCGTATGCACGAACATGTGGCAGTGGCCATCTTGTTTTGTCGAACACATCCAGCGGTGTTTGGTCGTCAAGTGTATGGAACTATTTTCGGACACTGAACGACCCGAACACCACTCGTACTTCCAGAATCACCTATGTTCGTTCCCAATCATCCAAAAGAGGCGGCGTTCAGTGAAAACCAACTCCCAAACAAGGGGTACACGACTAGCTTTCCCACGAACTATTATTTGTGACATTTCGTGTAATTGAAGCTCCTGAAAGAGACTGGCCGCACAACCTGAAATCTATGGAACTATTCTGGGCAAGAGCCTCGTATGTGGTCGGTCAGAAATAAGACTTCCATGGAATTTCCGAACCCCTGAACCGATCTGGGTGATTTTTAGATATGTTGCTCACCCAGATCAGGGCTATCAGGGCTATCAGGGCTATCAGGGGATGTAACAATTGTGGGGATACTATGTGTTTTGGGGTCCTTTGGGGGTTCTGTAAAAATAGATGTTCTTTTTCGCCTGGAGATAATTGAGTTGGTACAGTAATTGACTCAATTATCTCCCAGGCAGAGGGGAGGGATTGTACGCTATGTGTGGGAGTGTCATACAGTATAACCCTGTTGTTATTGGCTTATAATATTGTATTGTAGTCCCCAACAAGGTCTATGTGGGAGTGCCCCTTGCATGGTGCTGTCATAAAAGGCCAAGTGTGGCCCCATTAAAATCAGTCCAGTTTTACACTCAACATAGAGCCTCGCATAGTGTTTGTAGGGACCTGCTACATAAGCTATAACCACTAGCTGTTATCAGAGCTTCACAGCTATACCTACTTCCTCACCGCTTGGACTGATGCTTGGGGTTACTTCAGTGCTCTTCACTATGGGGGGAAAGGACATCTCTGGTGGCGGAAACCCCTCCACTAGCGGGGTGGCCGTTACAGACCTCATCTTCAATACTGAGAAAAATTTACAAATAGAACGCTAATGGAGTTGTAGATGCATGGAATGGTCTTCTGCAGAGATGGCATAGGCATTGCATGTTAAGAATTCAAGAAAACATGGAATAGCAACACTGTTATTCTGGGATTGACACTAAATGAAGAATAAACCATGTTCCTTTAGATAGGGAACGGGCAAGTTACACGGGGGAGTTTGGTTTGCATGTGATATTACTATCAGAAATAGAAGGGTTTATAGTTTATGCTGCATGTCTCCTACATAGGCAAAAGTATTCCTTAATAAGAGTGTGACACCTATCCCTCCCATCTGTTCTATAAGAGTAAATACAATATAAAAGTGAAAGAAATCCTCAAACATAAACAAAAACAAAAGTGCTACAATCACCAAGGTGGGCCACAATCACCACCTTAAAATACAGCAATAAACGTACAAACAAGTGATGGTGAGAGCACACAAATGAATTGAATTGATATTACCCACAAATGATGTTCAAATTATTCCCTGAAATAAAACAAGGAAAAAGAGACATAGGGTAATAGAGTAGAAACTATAAATCAAATGAACATATTAGTCCTACTCACATATAAAGAGCCACTTTAAAAGCTGTCTCAGACTGCATGCCTTGAACAATTGGAAATTCCAATGGACCCTTCTTCGTATTTCTATATGAAGTACCTCCAAGACGCTGATTCAGGGGGTTACAAAACAATTTATTTTTCCAAAACAACAGGAAACAAATTAAAATTCGAAAATATTAGAAGAATGTCCAATAAATATAGGAATCCACAACACCTAATGCGTTTCGGCTATTAAGCCTTCATCAGAGGTATTGTGTATACTCTTGGCGTGCAGTCTTTTAAATCCTCCTTTTGGCGCCCTTTTCCGCCGTAATCCTGGCACTTCAGTTCCGGGTTCTGCGTCAGAGCATCATCTGCGTCCTTACGTTCTGACGTCACTTCCGGTTCATACGTCCGGACGGGTCTGAAACACTTCTGTCAGGACAGTTACTTGCTTGGCGAAATGGAGCAAAATAAGATATGCAATGTACTTACAAACTTACATAATAAAATAAACTTAAATAAAACAAATGTTATTGTTGATTAATTCAATCATCTAAAACGATACCATAGTAATATATACTTTTCTTAACTTATACAATTCTAAAAACAACAGACCTTATAAAAGATATACACCAATATTTAAAAAGTTTTAAAATAAATAAAACCTTAAGAATGGAGATGCTATATTAAATGGGTCATCTAAATTGGAAAAAGAATGACATAGTTAGTTAATATAATTTGCCTTCTGGAATATATAGAAACCTAAAAACCTTTACCAAATATATACTTCATATATGTAACCTAAACATTGCACATTATATTCCACCTAAAAAATATATTAATTGATCAGTAAGCAGCAAACCTCTTAAAAACATATAAATAAAAAACACATAAACATCCTAGATATTTATTAATCTCAAAATCTACGTTCAAACCTTGTGGTATCATGGTATCTAGTTCAAACATCCATTTCATTTCTGCTAGACCCAACTTGTGGTCTTTATCCCCTCCCCTCCAGTGAATATTAATTTTATCTATACCCATAAATTCTAATCCTTTTGGGTCCCCACTGTGGACTTCTAAATAGTGTTTTGATACACTATGGTGAACAAATTTTCTCTGAATATTATAAATATGTTCTCTTATTCTTGTCTTTAAGGTCCGTGTTGTCTTCCCTATATATTGATAGCCACATTGGCAACTCAACAAATAAATCACATCCTTACTGGAGCAAGTGATAAAAGATTGTATTAAATATTCTTTTTTAGTAACCATTGCCAAACATTTTTCCACTTTTCTATTATTGTTGGGTCTAAATGTACAGCCTCTGCATGTACCACAGTAATGAAAACCTTTACTTCCCTTTAAAAAATGTCCTTCTATAGCGGTCCTTTCTTTATCTAAAAAGCTTTTAGTTAAAATTTGTTTAAAATTATTTGCTCCTCTAAATATAAATTTTGGTTTGGAGTCTAAAAAGGGAAGGATATCTGAATCTTCTTTAAGGATATGCCAGTGTTTTTTAATTACTATCTGTAATAAATAATTATTGGAACTATAATTAAATATAAGAGGGATTTGGTTTCTTCTAATTTCATTCTCTTTTTCTTTCTTATTCTTATACCTTAAAAGTGATTGTCTTTCTTTTCTCCCAATCTCTTTTTCTATTTCTTCTAATTGTTCCTTGGCATATCCCTTTTCGATGAATTTTTGTTTCAAAATATCCGCTTGTTTAAAATATTCAGCTTCTTCTGTACAGTTTCTTTTAATTCTTAAAAATTGGCCCTTGGGTATATTACTCAACCAAGGTTTAAAATGACAACTTTCTAAATTTATGAAACTGTTAACATCGAACCGTCTTAAAAAATGTCTTACTCTTCAATACATCATTATCTATGTATATTAAAAGGTCTAAAAAATTAATTTGCTCCTTACTAATATCATAGGATAGATTTATATTAAAAGAATTAAAATTCAGAGAGACAATAAATTCTTCCAAAGTTTCCTTGCTACCTTTCCATATAATAAAAATGTCGTCTGTATAGCGTTTATATATGACCAGACTTGCCCCAATGTCCAATCTGGAGAAAACAAGTTTTTCTTCCCAGAAGGACATGAATAGATTGTCTGGTCCCCATCGCTGTTCCTTGTATTTGAAGATAAAATATATTCTCGAACCAGAAAAAATTATTCTTCAAAATAAAATCAATTCCTCTCACTAAAAAATCAATTTGAAGGTCATCCATATCTTCAGCTTTTTTCAAATAAAATTTCACTGCTTCACAGCCTTGCTCATGCTTAATAATTGTATACAAACTCTTTACATCACAAGTGGCCATGATATAATCCTTATGCCACTCAAAATTATCTAGAATCTGTAAAAGAGTCATGGTATCTTTAAGGTATGCTGGACATTCAGTAACCTTTTTTTGTAAAAACTGATCTGTGTACTGAGACAAGGGCGACAACAGTGATCCAATCCCAGATACTATAGGTCTGCCTGGAGGATTGGTATCATCCTTGTGCACCTTGGGTAGCACATAAATTACTGGAATTCTTGGATATTTAATGTTTAAAAATTCATAATTTTTTTTTGTTAAAATACCTATATCTAGACCTTCATCTAAAAACTCTTTATATTTTAATTTAATATCAGGGAGTGATATTTCTTCAGTAATTTCTTTCCAGAAGTAGCAACGTATTGATCATGTTTTTCTTTGTTTCATATTGGCAGGGTTATTTGTTGCAGGGAAAAAAATATAAATAACTTCACGTTTCTTCCAGTTCTCTATATCTAAAGCAAAGTAACTTCATTCTCCTGAATCTCAAACAAAAAAAATACTTCTTCATGTCCATGTTCAAATGATTTTGACACAGATTCCATTTTGGACACATGTACAACAGTTATTGTCTGTGAATCATAATTCAAATAGATTCTTAGCTGGCCAGATTCTTTTTCAGAAACTAAAAAATCAAAATTTTCAACTTGGGAAATGTGCACAATGCATATGGATTTATTTTCTTGTATATTGATTCTTGTATTCCTCTGAATGGAATTTCGACATATACCAATACCACATAAAGGGTTGTTTACTTTAAAGTCCAAATAGCAGAGACTTCCTTTACCGAATGTTTCATTACTCAGTATGAACAAATTTTTTTCAAAACGCTTGGTTGATGCAGGTTTTTTTGTCATTGTTTGACTGTAAGTACATTGTGCATGCTTGTTCTCCTTAGACACTAAGAATTTGTGATGTGCGGTTTCAGGATCCAAAAGTATATTTGCTGTTAAACATAAAATAAAATAAAAAATTGCACACTGTCAATATTTTTGCAAACGATATTTGCCGCAAATTAGGTTTACTTTTTATAATATTTAGTTTTAAAAAAGCACAATGTTGATTATTTTCAACAATAAGGATTAAATAATAGAATGCAAAATGGGGATGACTAGGTGTCCGTATGTATAAGCGTAGGAATAGCTAACATCAGGGGTGCCCAAAAGGTAAATCCACGTATGTTTTAAAACTACAACTCCCATGATGCTTTGTCATTCTAAAGGCATGCAAAGCATCATGGAAGTTGCAGTTCTACAACATTTGGGGATCTACCTTTTGGGCACCACTGGCTTACATTACATAGGTTAACACAATGCCAAGGAGGAAAGACATCAGCAGTGATCTTAGAGAAGCACTTGTTGCAGCTTGTCAAACTGGGAAGGGTTATAAAGCTATTTCCAAACAATTTAAAGCTCTTTATTCTACAGTGAGAGACTATACAAAAATGGAAAACAGTCAAGACAGTTGCCAATCTTCCCACTAGTGGACGTCTCGGCAAATTCACCCCAAGGTCAGACTGTGCAGTGCAAAGCAAATGACAATGCAAAATAAAGGTTCTGAGTTTTTCCATTTCAAGTCTCATTCAAAAAAATTTAATATGTAGACATTTTGAGGTAAGAGGTTTAAACCCCCCCCCCCTATTTCATGTACATTTTGCATATGTTCAAGGCGCATACTACAGTCATATTTTATTGTAACTGTTAGTTTTGGAAATATTATTTGTATCATACATTTACCTTTAGAAGCTGCTAGGTTCTTTTTAATTAAATCTGAAAAAAAATAGACCAATTTAGATGTGTCTAGATGTGCATAATAGTGAATATTATTTAATTCACACTTTTTTTCTATATAAAACAACACATTTATAAAGCACTGAGGAGAAATGTTGGGTGCCGGGGGGCAAGCCCTATATTCACACCGCTTCCCCCAAACCATACATCGATACCACTGGCAGATTACCAGTCCCATTACTAGGAATTTGTATTATAATAATAACAGTAATAATAATAGTGTCTAGGGACCCTTTTTTTAAATGTATTTTTATTCTTCATTTAGGACTTGTGCTGGAACAAAGCATATCCTCATGACATATGTATGACAGTTATAATCAATCAAAGTATAAAAAACATGAATAGCATTTCAGCATTTTTAAAGGCCAGAACAAGGGTTTTTCTTTTAAGTATTGACTATGGTATTAACAAAGAGTTTTGCAAAAAACAATAGCTAGGATACATCAAAGATATTAAACAACCCATGATCATCTATCTATCTATGTCATACTAAATAACATAGGGTTGACATACCACAGGCACTCATGAGATGAACAAAAATAAAGCACTAAACATGCACAGTGTAAGACAATAAATAAACATATAAGCCAGCAGGGTATAGTAACCATACAAAGGCCCAATTAGGTGGTTCCATTTACCACGAACGAACCCACTCATGAACACACAGAGACCCATACAAACATAGTGACACGAACACTGGCCAATACAAACACAAACTAGCGTATAAAATGTACACTGTACACCTCCCTTACCAGTAGCTATGCCAGTACTGGGATGAAAATGCCTGTCTCCTTTATGATGCCTCAACAAAGTCGCTGATATGATGATTGTGACAAACGGCCTATTTGCACTATTTCCCTTTCTCCATTAGTGAACTTGCATCGCCATATTTCTACCATCACTAGTGATGTAATGCACGCAGGTAAAGAACTAGAGTGTATGTAGTTCATAATGCCGCTACCCTGGCTCACAGAAGAAGGGGAGATGTATGATGATCTCAGGACAGTGATCTATTGTAGATTTGTGTTCTATCCTATTGTAATATTCTTAGGATTACAAGAGGGAAATAAAAAAAAAACAGCTATGCTTGTTATTGTAAAGTGCTGTGGAATAAGTTGGCACTATATAAACACCAATAATAATAGTGCAAGTGTAATGTGTTCGGTTACTCTTTGTCTCAGCTGTCTGATGGGATTAGGAATGTACCTAGCAAGCCATTGTAAGATGTATAGCCAGAACAGTGGAAGGTGGGACTAAATAAACAGTGTCACATCCTGCCTATTGTAAGCTTAAATGACCACTAAAGTGCCAGGAAAACAAACTCGTTTTCCTGGCACTATAGGGTTTTTAGGTCCCCCCCCACCAGCCTGTAGGGGGAGGAACGGATAAATTCTTACCTTTCTCCAGCGCCGGGCTCCTCGGTACTGGGGACTCTCCTCCCTCCTCCGACGTCATCCGCTGAATGCGCATGCGCGGGAAGAGCCGTGCGTGCATTCAGTCAGTCCATAGGAAAGCATTACTCAATGCTTTCCTATGGATGCTGGCGATTTTCTCACTGTGAAAATCACAGTGAGAAGCCCAGAAGCGCCTCTAACGGCTGTCAATGACACAGCCACTAGAGGCTGGATTGATCCTAAAGTAAACATAGCAGTTTGTCTGAAACTGCTATGTTTACAGCTGCAGGGTTAAGCCTAGATGGACCTGGCACCCAGACTACTTCATTGAGCTGAAGTGGTCTGGGTGCCTATAGTGGTCCTTTAACTGGTTCTGACCATTTCCCCACAGTAATAACTGTATCTGCATACTCCTCCCTGTATTATGCAAACAAGTCTGTCATGCCTGTTGAAATAGCTGTGTGCTCATACAATTTATCACTTCAATGGAGTTTGTTTTCTACATCAAGTTCACAAACTGTGCTGTTTAAATCCTAGTACTTAATGCTTCCAAGTATTTTAGAACGTTTTAGTTCTTTTCTCGATAAATAAAACAGAATTGTGCTTAGCATTTTACTCTTTGGGTAAGAAAGATTAAAAAAAATAAAATACTGCATACAGAGTGTTATTCAACAAATAGAATCTGCAAATTAGCATGTGCTTTCAACTCATCTGCAATGATTTTTTTGCAATTCCTGGTTTTAATGAAATACCCTGACATTGTAGTGACTTAGTTTTTTTTGGTAGACAAGGCAAACATTAGCAGGCAATATTAATAAACAAAATATGCCCTTTTCAAATAAACTGCATGTGTCCTTAATTGCTTTTATTATATATTTGTTTGCATAGTATGTTTCCAAAACCTGTGAAGGTGTGATTAACAATTCATGGTATAAGCAATCAAAACAGAGAGACCTCATTGACCATGCCCACCAAGGCACAATTGACTGAAGTTGCTGGATTAGGCTGCCCTTTTGGAATCTGATAAGTGAATGGTTTACTCTGTATTGGCACAAGTGAGCTAAAACTAGCACAAGACTCAGTGGCCGATCTAACAGGGTTGCAAAGGTTGCTATTGTGACCAGGCCCTGGAGTTTCCGCTGTCACAGGAGGCTGGACGGGGGCCCTTCTTGCCTAATCATTATTTTATATATTGCCATTTTGTCAATATATCAAATAATTATATTTCTATATCATTAGTGCAGATATTGATATTCACATATCAAACAAACTACCTAATAGTAAAATTTTGTACTGCAACTCATTAAAATAATTACCTACAAAAATTCACACTTGCAATAACGTGTAAGATCAAAACTATAGGGATACGTTTAGTACACAAGTCCCTATAATCCTCAGTCAAAGTTAATCCTGTATATATTCCTTATTTCAGTGGGTTTGCTCACCCTATTAAATATAAAACACACAGTCCATACCAATCAACTACCTCTCACAGTTCCACAATACTGATTTTAGAATTATTTTGTAGAAAATCATGTTTGGTTTTAGTGTGGTGGTGATGAACTTTTCAAGACGTTGAAAATGAAAACATCCAAAACACCCAATGTCCCAAAAATACCTGTCCAATGTCCATATGTACTGAATCTCAATTTGTTTAACTTTTATAATAGTACTGTGTATACAAAAATAGTAACAGTTTGCATATTTGTTTCTTTTCCAGCTGAAGAATTGCCCAAATAGAATTTTAAAAAATAGTCACAGGCTTCTTGATTCAAGGGACACTATAGTCACCAGAACAACTACAGCTTAATGTAGTTGTTCTGGTGAGTACAATCATTGCCTTATGGCATATTAATTCAAACACTGTCTTTTCAAAGAAAAGGCAGTGTTTACATTGCCCCTAGGGACACATCCAAGTGGACACTCCTCAGATGGCCACTAGAGGGGTTTCCTGGCTCAGTGCTGCACAGTAGGCAGCTCTGCCGTTCAGCGTCTCCACGCTCTGCATGGGGACGCTGAATTTCCCTCATATAGACATATTGATTAAATGCATCTCTATGAGGAGGTGCTGATTGACCAGCCCCCTTGCCGATTTTACCCAATCCAGTGCTTTCCCTTTCCCTTTGGGAAAGCATTGGATTGACTAGAAATCGGCGATTCTGATGATGTCACCAATGGGGGCAGGGCCAGTGCCGGCGGACCCATGGAGAGCTGAAAATAAGGGGAGTTTTAACCCATTCTGAGGGGGCTAAGATGGGGGCAAGCCACCTAAATGGTGGGTTTTCACTATAGGGTCATACATGTTTGTGTTCCTGACCCTATAGTGTTCCTTTCAGTTAAATGGCCAATGTATGAGTTGACTATAGGATAGTTTATGGCGATCTCGAAGCATGCTTACATTTATTAACTTTATTTGACAAATGAAAGTGTATAAGTAAACCTTATATAGCCATACCACTATATCGCATAATGAATTTTGATGTCGTCGTTAAAAAATGAAACATGTTCAGTTACTTACATAATTCTTCGTCAGTTTCTGTGCAAAAAAAAGAAAAATAAGTCAACAACAAAACAGAATAAGATACATTATTCTTAATAAACAGAAGAGACTATGCTATTAAAATAATGTTCTTTGGTTCTGTGATTACATGTGAGTGTTGCCATTACTCTATAGATTTAAATAAGTTTTCAGCTCTCAATATTTGCAGAGATATTGTTCTGAGGATACACTCTACCAAGATGTCATATCAAACATTAGATGCAATTATAGTGTCATGTCAAACATTTATCTAAAATTCCAAATTACTTAGCTAATTTGATGTCTGTTTCTGTGGGAAAAACAAGAAAATACGTCAGCTATAAAACAGAATAATTGTTATTCTTAAATTATATATACATTATATATATATATATATATATATATATATATATAATATATATATATAGAGAGAGAGAGAGATATTTCACAAAGAAGAGACTGTTCTTAAATTACTAGTAACTCGTTGTCCACTCATCTCACCTCTGAGACAGAAAAAGGAATAGTAACAATTCCCCTGCAACTGCCTGCTGAACATTGTAGTTCCACTAGTGTCTTCTAACAGCTAAAAATGCTTTTATCGTTATTGGAATTTATAGAGGACCAACTTCTTCTGCAGCTCTTTACAATCATATAAAGCGGAAATATAACAATAAATGAGAAGAATGATTACAAGTCTTTACAAGAATGATGGGTTGATGAGGACCCGGCTCCAATCCTGAGGAGATGGGTTATAAACTCACAATATGAAGGGCAGCATGGGGGATAGGAACCAATGTGGGACAGTAGCAGTATTGGAAGGTCCACCCTATGGGAAAGCATTGGATTGGCAAAAAATCGTAAATTCTGATGTCACCATCAGAATCGGATGCGTGTGGTGCTGAAAATAAGGTGAGAGAAAACTAAACCTGGCAGTAGCATTCATTATTGACTGTAGAGAGGCAGTATGTTTCTGGGGAGACCAATCAGGAGAGGGTTACACGAATCAATGAGAGAAATTTCAAGCAAATTAAGAAATTCCTTAGTAGAACCTCGAGTATAAAAGAGGCATATCCTGTACCCCTTGGATATATATATTTCCTGGCCATATCCATGGCAGCACAACATTGGGTAGCTCCTTCCTATCCCCATTAGACAGGAAAAATAATTAAGCCGTATAAGTACCACCTCCTACCCCTCCTTCCCCAGTCTTTTTTTTTTCTGTCCTATCCCTAGGACATGTTGGTCTTTAGAACCATAACATTTTCTTTTATGGCTTACCTGAGGATTAGTTCCTCCAGCCCCTGGGGAGTTCACCCTCTCTCCCCTGGGAAGTCTCCAGTATACGGCCCTGCGCAAAGGTGTTTCCCTGGAGAAAACCCCTTTAGTGACCAGGTTTTTTCCTTTCCACTATCTTGCAATAACCTCAGGGGTAGCAAGTAAAGGACCAATTACATTATTAATCGAACTGGTTAAATGTTTGGAATCTTCCCACCAGAAATAATGTATGAGGCTGATATGGATTCAAACTTACCGCCAGGAGCATTTAGCCGGTAAGTTGTTTGCTTTTCCCATCTTTCTGGCCGCCTGCAGAGTCTTCAGGGTACCCGCACTGCGTTCTGGGGTTCCAGTGCGCCTGCGCGGCGTTCGTGAGTTCCAGGGCACCTGCGCGGAGTTTGTGAGTTTTTTCTTACAAGGCTGATTATTCCCTACAGAAGAAGTATTCTTGTACCATAGAGCTTTGACGGAACTGTCGGTTCTTCACCTTTTCCAGGTTCCCTTCCTTTCTGGGACAAAAGTAATTTTTTTCCACATTATTTCTTTTTTATTATCTTTACTCTTCTTGGTTTAAGTTCATCTGTTCCATCAATTATTTCCAGATGGATTCTTGTTCAAGATCCAGGGAATCGGATTCATCTCATAATAGGTCACAATCTAAGCAATATAGGGAAGCCATCTTTTTCCTAAAAAAAAAAAAAGAGTGGGAATGTACTTAAAAGCACTTTTTGTGTATTGTAGTGCTAAAAGTACAAAGATTTCAGGATCGTCTGTGACAACAGAGCCATAGAAGGGAAACGTCTCTGTTCAGATTGTCTCTCAGCAGCTTCAGGACCTTCTCATCCAACACCGGACATTATGCAACTTATAAAGCATGCAGTTGCCCAGGGCATCAGAGAGGTTGGAAAGACCCACAAGCAACCTAGATATTCTGAGCCCTCAAATTTTTCTCCAGGAAACTCAGAAGATGAGTTTATGGATTCAGCTTCGCTGAGAGATCTAGCTTTTTCCTCGGAGGAGGATGCTATGCCAGATCCAGACTTCCTGGTACCAGCGGAAGTGGATCATTTAATTGCCCGGGTTAGAGAAACCCTCACTTTAAAGGAACCCTCAGAGGAGGAACCCTCTACATCTAATCGCTATTTCTCTGATCTTAGGAGAAAAAGAGCGGCTTTCCCGGTGCATGACACAATCAGTGATGTTATTAAGGAGGAATGGTCCAGATCTGATAGGAGATCATCTGCCAAGGGAAAATTCTCCAGGTTATACCTATTCGAGCGCAAAGATGCTGAGGCATGGGATTTTGCACCCAAGGTTGATGCTGCAGTTGTCAGGTTAGCCAAACACACTACCCTACCTGTGGACGATGCAGGTTCCTTCAGGGATCCGATGGATCGTAAAATGGAGTACTACCTTTCCAAGTCCTATGTAGCCTCAGGCACGAGTCTCCACCCTGCCGTTGCTCTCACATCAGTTACAAGAGCTATGAAGGTATGGCTACAAGAAATGGAGGAGGATATCAGGAGTGGCAGAAGCCGTTCCTCCATTGTGGATGGCCTAAGAGATATGCGTTTAGCCATTGATTTTTTCATCCGAAGCAGCAGTGGATCTAGTAAGAAATCTTGCTAGAAATATGTCCTTTTCAATTTCCTCCAGACATGCGCTTTGGCTCAGGTCTTGGGCAGCCGATGCTTCCTCTAAGAATAGTTTATGTTCCTTACCATTCCACGGGAATATGTTGTTTGGTAAGAACTTAGACGAATGTATAAAGAGGGCGGCCGAAGGTAATAAGGCCTTTCTACCTCAAGAGAGGAAATATAAAGGGTCCTTTCGTGCCCGAAAAGAGTATCATTCCTTTCGAGATAGTAGATCTTACAAGCCTGGTAGAGAATATTCCAGATTTCAACCGGGGAGAGGAGCCCATTCTGGAGGAAGAGGAGGCAAGTCACGAAGTGCTTCTTCCTCCAAGAACCCTAGGAATTTGACTATAATTCCCAAATCCAAAGGGGTCGGGGCTTGTCTTCAATATTTACCCATATGAGAAGAATCCACAAGCAACAGTTGGGTGCTGGATATTATTTGGAGAGGATACCTTCTAGAATTCTTCAAGCATCCTCCCAACAGGTCCTTTCATCTCACAAAGTTGCCAGGGGACAAAGAGAAGCGTATGGCTCTACAAAACTTCATTCTATCCTTACAAGCAGAGAAGGTCATAACAGTGCCAGCAGACGACAGAGCTCAGGGGTTTTACTCTCAAATCTTCTTAACGAAAAAATCCTCAGGAGCATGGAGACCCATTCTGGATCTGCACAGATTAAACAAGCATCTACACATCCGCAGATTCAAGATGGAATCCCTGCAGTCTATAATAAAAGTAGTGTCACCCAACCAATGGATGTTGTCTATAGACCTGTTAGACGCCTACTTTCACATACCCATTGCCCAATCCCATCAAAGGTTGCTGAGGTTTGCCGTGGAAGAAGGTCATTTCCAGTTCAGAGCCCTCCTGTTTGGACTAAGCACAGCCCCAAGGACGTTCACAAAAGTGTTGGCAGTTCTGATTGCAGAACTAAGAAAACAGAATATCGCTATCTACCATTATTTGGAGGACATCCTGATCATAGGAAACAGCAAAGATTCATTGACCTCCCAAGCTATTACCAGCATTCAGTTTCTGCAAGCCCACGGCTGGAAGATCAACACCAAGAAGAGCCACCTCCGCCCAACTCAATCTATGATTTATTTAGGTGCTCACTTCGACACTCTGATGGGTACTGTCCAATTCTCAATGGCAAGAATATTGAAACTCAGGATACAATTGAGAAAGATGTTAAAGTCCAGTATTGCTCCTGCAAAGGTGGTAATGAGCCTCCTCGGATCTATGTCCTCCACGATAGGACTGACCAGATGGGCACAATGGAGGATGAGACCATTTCCTGATGCAATTTTCCTCCAAGAATCTGCTTCAACCCATCAAGTTATCCCGGGCCGTACGCCATTCTCTGATCTGGTGACTGAACAAAGAACACCTATCTAGGGGTTTTCCGCTAGGAAACATCACATGGATAGCAGTGACAACAGATGCCAGCCAATGGGGATGGGGCGCCCATTGTCTCCATGACTTTGCACAGGAAGAATGGAGTTTCATGGCAAATAATGTGCATTCCAATCTGCTAGAACTTCTGGCAGTCCTCAAAGCATTGAAACACTTCTCGGTACATCTCAAGGGTCAATGGGTAAAGATAAGAACAGACAACACCACCGTGGTATCCTATGTCAATCATCAAGGAGGTACCAGGAGTGGCAAGATGATGGTGATTATTAAACGACTGATGTGGTGGGTTCAGAGGAACCTGGCAGGCCTTACAGCCATCCATCTACCAGGGAAACAGAATCAATTGACAGATTTCCTCAGCAGATCCAGGATAGACCCAGGGGAATGGTGCCTATCGGACAGAGTATTCCATACAATTGTAGACAAATGGGGTCTCCCACAAGTGGACCTACTAGCTACTTGGGTCAACAGGAAAGTGAAAGACTTCTTCACGAAAGAAGACCACCATCTGGCAGTGGGAAGAGACGCATTATCCAGTCCCTGGAGATTCAAAATAGGGTATGCGTTCCCTCCATTTCCACTGATCTTCCCAATCCTGAGGAGGATGAGAACAGAGCAGGTATCTCTCATCCTGATAGCGTCCTATTGGCCTTGAAGGCCTTGGTTTCCCCTGCTTCAAAGTCTTTCAGTGGAACCTCCTCTCCCACTCCCCAGAACTCCTGATCTACTGTTCCAGGGTCCAGTGTTGCATCCAAACCCGGTCTCACTCAATCTCATGGCATGGAGACTGAAAGGAACAGGCTTATGAACAAAGGATTCTCCCAGGCCGTAATAGAAACTATGCTGAAGGCACGTAAGCATTCCACTTCAGCCATCTATTATAGGGTGTGGGAAGTTTTTTTCCGTCTGGGCTCTTCCTAAAAACATTGATCTGCAGAATCCCTGTTCCACGGATGTTTTGGAGTTCCTGCAGTCTGGACTTGCTAAAGGTCTGAGTTATAATACTCTAAAAGTACACGTCTCAGCTTTGTCCTCCTTAACCAATCATAGATGGGCATTGGACTCGGATGTTATCAGATTCATTAAAGGAGTCCTTAAAATTAAACCTCCAATTAAGCCATTTGTTTCCTCCTGGAATCTCCCTTTGGTTCTGAACGCCTTAAAATTGGAGCCCTTTGAACCCGTTGGATCAATTCCTCTACATGTTCTCTCTATCAAGACAGCTTTGCTGATCGCCCTAGAGTTTCGGAGCTCCACGACCTATCCATTAAGGAACCCTTTACGGTCTTTCACAAGGACAGAGTTATCCTCCGTACTGTTCCTGAATTTAGACCTAAAGTCACCTCTGCTTTTCAACGAAGATATTGTTCTTCCATCTCTGAGGTCTGAATGCCAAGAAAGCGAGAATTCAACTGACCTGACATCTCTGGACCTAGCGAGATGCCTTCATATATATATTGAAAGGACTGCTGCTTGGCGCACTTCTCAAAGTATCTTGGTCCTTCATAGTGGTAGTAAAAAAGGCTTACAAGCCCCTAAATCTACCATTAGCAGGTGGATAGTGGCAGCCATTATACTGGCTTATCAATCTTCTGGATATCCGGTCCCTGTGGGTCTAAAAGCCCATTCCACTAGGGCCCTTTCATCTTCCTGGGCAGCCGCGGCTAATGTCTCTCCTGAACTCATTTGTAAGGCGGCCACATGGTCTTCTACCAATACCTTCATTAGAAGTTATCAAATTGATGTCAGAGCAGGTCTATCAGATCAATTTGCTAAATCAGTTCTGTCTGTATCCGATAAAGATTTCTTTGTTTATCACTTGTTAATGGTGTTAAATACACTTTGCATTCAAATTTTCAGGTCTGTGTCTTCTTCCCTCCCTGGTTTATTGCTTCGGTATTACCCAATGTTGTGCTGCAATGGATATGGCCAGGAAAATGGAAAATGTATTCATACTTACTGTAATTTTCTTTTCCTGGTCATAGGCCATGGCAGCACAAGGGTCCCACCCAGGGCTATTGCTGTGAAATATGACTGGGGAAGGAGGGGTAGGAGGTGGTACTTATACGGGTTAATTATTTTTCCTGTCCAATGCGGATAGGGAGGAGCTACCCAATGTTGTGCTGCCATGGCCTATGACCAGGAAAAGAAAATTACGGTAAGTATGAATACATTTTCCATTATATATATATATATACTGTATTTTTTACATTTCTGTTATTTACATATTAGTACAGGTGTCCACTGGCTGTTTATTTCTCTAACATGGTCTCTAAAAATGGATCATTGCATCAACAAAACACCCAGCGCGTGCTGGAAACTTTGTGGAGAACAAGGGACATTTCTCCACTGTTTGTGGACATGTCCCAAAATAAAACCCCTATGGATCAGTGTTATAGCCCTACTGACCAAAATTCTACACAAGCCATACCCATTAGACCCATGGGCCCTTCTACTCTCAAAGCCTCTGGAAAATTTAACCAGAGCAGAAAACAAACACGCATCGCCCTCTCCACACGAAGGGCAATAGCAGAGCTGTGGTCCACCACCCGCATCCCATCACAAGAGAGCATCACTAAAAAAATACAGGATAACATACAAATGGATAAGCTCACATCCCAGTTCCACGACACTCCCAAACAATTCCATAAGGTTTGGGACCCATGGCTAGAGGGAGATACCTCCCTGCCCTGGTGAACACAATCTCAGCTTGCACAAGCGTACATACTATAAACACACTATCACCGAGATCTCAGGACTCCCCTCAAAACTCCTGCCAAGCCCAAACTTCAGCTCGCCCCGCCATACCCACTGGGCTGGGGCTCCGCGCGTGTGGCAGATCACCCTAATTATCCATCCCCGGACCCCCTCCACCCCTGGAATCCTTCCCCCATGACCCATTCTACACCATCACTCCACCTCACCACCCCTGCACAGGAATACCAGGCAATGGAACTTGCCCACATGACGCACCCACAACTCGAGGCCCACAAAACCCGATTACACCAAAAACAGAGAACTACCGAACCACCTGGCTCCAAGTTACACTTCAACTGAAGACTACGCGACCCATGGGACAACACCACTACACAGTTGGACTGAAAACGGGGATATGGGTGGCCATAACGCCATCATCCTTAGGTAACAACGAACAACCAAATAGGACCCACAATACGGCAGCATATAGACCCTATTGGTCCATGTTACAGCCGGCTTAATGCCTAATCTCATGATACATACGGTACAAGTTCTTACTATGCCTATATCTGTATATACAGAGGATTGTGCGATTGCTAACAGAGAAGATGCTGTACAACTGTGCATTTTCCCCCTCCCACTCCCCCAACTTCTCTTCTGTACCCCATACCCTACCCACCAACCTACATAAAATGTACCATAAATAAAGAATTAAAAAAAAAAAAAACAATGGATCATTGCATTTTTCTTGAATGTGTATTGTCTTTATTTACTTTCATAAAGATTGCAAAAACAAAACAAAAACAGAATTGTTACAATTCTGAGTAACTTGCGTAATCTATTGTCCGTTTCTGTTGAGAAAAACAAGAAAAGTCAAATACAAAACAGAAAAATATGTTACTATACTATTATACATATTTATACATACACATACGTTTTTCACAGAAGAGACTATGCCTTTAAGATAATAGTATAATAATAGTATAGTAGTAATACTTAACAGAAATAAAGTGAAGAGCCACCTATACAGAATAATAACCCCATCACCAATAAAAAAAGGGGAGGTAACCCCAAAGGTGAAGTATACAGAACACATAAAATATCTGTGCATAATCTTAAACGTAACCTTTATTCTAAACTCATAAGGTCAAATACTAAATAGCTAAATATAATAGAAATATATGTGGGTAAAAAAAAAGCCCTATAAGTAGAGAGAATACTTAAAAACCGATCATCATCTTCAAAATACTGTGTATCTTGAAATAGACATAATCTTTAGCATTAACTAATTCTGTATAGAGTAATCTAAGTATCACATTTTTAAAGGTTTAGCAAATGATTTGACTACCTACATTGAGGGGGCTACTGAGCACTCATGTTACCATAACCAATACAACACATTGTAGTTGTTATGGTGCTTGGTGTGTTCTTTTAAACCAATCCAACCGAACAATTAGTAATATGCCTTACTGTCAACCTTACCCTTTATCGTATCCAGTTTACTGCTAGGCCTACTATTTCCAAGTACAGAATATTAAATCTTTATAAAAATGTTTATAACTGCATTCATCATTATAACATCCTATAGTGATTAAGGTGATGCATGTGAATTATTAACACCTATTATGTACTTGTCACCTATATCTTTATATCCCAGGCACAAAGTCCAGGGAGTGCTGCACACGTGTAAATGTACGAGGGAGCATTGTGGAGGGGGGGTCCGCCGCCCACCAGGAACAATCAAATATAGAAGTCCACAGGTGTCACAACGTAGGATGAAGAAAAATTGTATTTATTGTAGTTCAATGAGGACAAAAAGGATACAATGTTTCGGCCTTTTGGCCGAATGACTAAAGCCTTCAGGCTGAATGAATAAAGCCTTTAGGGCAAAAGGTATCTTTTTTTTGTCATCCGTGAACTACAATATTACTTTTCTTCACCCTACATTGGGACACCTTTGGACTTCTATTTTTGTTTATATCCCAGGCAGTTTGTGTTTCCTTAAGAGGGTGTTGAAGAAAATTACATTAGATTGTAAGGGAGTTCACAATTAATGTCTGCTTTGTGCCTGCAGGGAATAATGCTATATAACCTGATAGGACAGGGACCCGTCCCACCTATGTATGCTGCTGAGTACAGCTGATATTTATTAACCCTTCCAAAGTTGACCAAGTTGACCAAAGTTGAAAGTTTGGTGAAAAACAAAACATTTGTATTAACAATCAATATTTCATAAAAGAAAGGAAAGTCAAAATTCTAAAATCTCCAAGCTGAAGGGTCGCTGGAAGTCCTCATGCACAGTGGGAGGATGTCCAATGTCATTTAGGCAACCTAATGTCGTCTAAGCACCCAGAAGTCCCTTTAGTGGCTGTCTGGTAGCACTAAAGGAGGAGTTAAACCTAGCAGGTAATTCTCAGAAACTGCACTTAATTACCACAATGAGCTGAAGTGCTCTGGGTGCCTACAGTGTCACTTTAAAGATAATGGAACAGTTAGGGTGTTAGGGTGGTATTTGACCCTGTTCCCTGACTTGTTGAGCTCAACCCATTTAACCCATTACATGTTTAGACATAATTCTCTATTTAAACATATAGCTACATGAATTTGGGAAACAACAACCACTTTAACATTAATGGACTTATTTCTCTAAAGTTTGGATCTTTAACACATCCATCCCATAATTATCTGTTCATTATCAGCAGACAAATACCGAGCTCTTACTCATTTCCATGTTCTTTTATTGCCTCATAGTCCTCAAACTTTTGGGATTCATTTTCTCTTGATGCTCGATTTCTTTCAACAGTTTGTAAACACTATATCTCTATTATTTGAGTTTGTTATTCAGGGGCACCCCCTCCTCTTAGCAGTACAGTTACTAACCCTTAAAAAATTACACTAACACCTTAAAATATTCCTCTTGTAGCTCCTTGATCATTGTGTTTTATGTTATTGGAGTTCCAACATTATAACAACATGTTCAGTAATCATTTTTTTCCCATGACACAGAACTTTCAATGCAAAATAGCCCTTTCTTGTGTTCTGCATTATCTTATACATTGTTATGTACTTTACTTATTTTAATTACCTTTCAGTTTGGCTTTCAGTGTTCTAACTTTATACAAACCATACATGATGGGTAAAGTGAATGAAAGCAATACGGCAGATATAAAAATCAAAGAAGTAAAACAACGGTCCACTCTGTTGTACAAAGTATCTGTCGGAAAAGGAAATAAAATACAATATAAATTTTTTTTAAATACAGCACCATTATTTTTTAATAAATAGTATTAGATGCTTATCATAAAAATCACTACAGTCGTCTTTCTGAGTGAAGCTATGGGAATCTGGTCTATTGTTCAAATATTTCCACGTCTGACAAAAGTACTCAATTATGCTTTTTTTTATATATATACTAGTCTTATAGTAACTGGACCAAAAGTCCATATCTTGTCTCAGTGTGGTTTCAATGAGAGATGTATGTTGTCTGTCTGAGATTTTTGTATGATCTTCGAGACGTGCATGCAATTGGCAAGACGTGGGTCAATTTTTGAGAAATGTACATATTTCATCTGTCTTCCAAATATAAGCGAAGATATATATTTTTAATTATACGTTTGTGGTGCCATCTGCTGGTCAAACACTGAATAGTTAAATTGTTAAAATAGAAATTTGCACTCATTTTATTTTCTTCCAAATGTCAAGATCTGCCCAGTGACAGAGTAACCAAACAAAATTTTCTAATGCCTTCAGTGATATCCGACAACTAATGACCTGCATCACGAACAACCTGATCATGACATCATTAGATCTTTAACAAGTACTTAAGGAGCTAAGTGGGGAAATAAGTGAACCTCTGTATTTAATTTTTCAAGATTCTTTTGTTTCGGGTGTTGTACCGGAGGATTGGAAGAAGGCAGATGTTGTTCCTATATTTAAAAAGGGTTCAAAATCCTTGCCTGGAAATTATAGATCTGTGAGCTTAACTTCTGTGACTGGGAAATTATTTGAAGGGCTATTAAGGGATAATATTCAGGAATTCATTGGGAAGAACTGTGTTATTAGCAATAATCAGCATGTTTTTTTGAAACATAGGTCATGTCAAACTAACCTAATTGCTTTCTATGAAGCGGTAAGTAGAAGTATAGGTCAAGGAGTTGCAGTGGATGTGATCTACTTGGATTTTGCCAAGGCATTTGATACGGTTCCTCCCAATAGGTTAGTCTCCAAACTAAAAGAAATTGGTCTAGATGAATATTCTTGTTCTTGGGTAGAACATTGGCTTAAGGATAGAGTACAACGATTTGTCATTAATGGTAAATTTTCAAGCTGGACAAAAGTGGTAAGTGGTGTCCCTCAGGATTTTGTTTTGGGACCGCTTCTATTTAACATATTTATAAATGATCTTGAAATGGGCATTAAAAGCCATGTATCAGTGTTTGCAGATGACACAAGACTTTGTAAAGTAATAAAATGTGAGCAGGATATTGCCTTGCTGCAGAGGGATTTGGATAGATTGGGGGATTGGGCACTAAAATGGCAGATGAAATTTAACTTAGAGAAATGCAAAGTTATGCACTTCGGGATTAAGAATGCACAAGCAATTTACACCCTAAATGGTAGTGAACTAGGGATAACCACACACGAGAAAGATTTGGGAATTGTTATAGACAACAAATTAGTCAGCAATATGCAATGTCAATCTGCCATTGCTAAGGCCAGTAAGGTTTTGTCATGTATAAATAGGGGCATAAATTCTCGAGATAAAAATATAATTTTGCTTCTTTATAAATCGCTGGTAAGACCACACCTTGAATATGCTGTGCAATTTTGGGCACCTGTTCTAAAGAAAGATATCATGGCACTAGAAAAAGTGCAGAGATGAGCTACAAAATTAATAAAAGGAATAGAGCATTTTAGTTATGAAGAAAGGTTAAAAAATTTAAATCTCTTTAGTTTGGAAAAACGGCGCCTGAGAGGGGATATAACATTATACAAATATATTCGGGGCCAGTACAAACCATAATCTGGAAATCTATTCATAAACAGGGCTATACGTAGGACACGAGGTCACACATTTAGGCTTGAAGAAAGGAGATTTCATCTAAGGCAAAGAAAAGGTTTTTTTACAGTAAGAGCAATAACGATATGGAATTCTTTGCTTGAAGAGGTGGTTTTGTCAGTCTATACAGATGTTTAAACTGCAATTGGATAAATACTTGCAAAAACATAACGTACAGGGATATAATTTTTAATTAGTGGTTTAATAGCTGCTTGATCCAAGGAGACATCTGACTGCTGTTTTGGGGTTATTTTGAAGGAATTTTTTCCTAGTTTGTTGCAAAATTGGAAGCGCCTTAGACTCTGTTTTTTGCTTTCTTTTGGATCAACAGCAAAAACATATGTGAGGAAGGCTGAACTTGATGGACGCAAGTCTCTTTTCAACTATATAACTATATAACTAAGTATAACTATATAACAAACGTTGACACAAATGCGGTCTTCCATTCTAACCTCCCAAACTTTTAGTTAGCAGACAAGGTACTCCTATAAAGATAAGTAGTGACCTACACACAATGAAACCACATAGGCACTGCCACTGCTCAGGTATGTCAAAAATACAGCCCTTAATGATCTCTCAGTAAAATGGCCGTGAAAATAACAGCAAAAAGTGGTTGAAATATGCTTTTATTGACCATATCCCTGCTGGCAGCACTAGCAGCTGGCGGCAAATGGTTAAAAAAAAAAATAAAAAGCCTATGGTGGCCAGTACGATGGTCTAAAATCTCCCCCATGCCCTCACTTGCCATGTTGGGAGTGGGGGCATGTCTGCTAAATAGCAAGCAGCCAGTGCTGTAATAAAAAAGACTAGCAACTATAGCTGCCCGTCACTAGTACTTTAAGGCCTTTTTGTTTTTCAGTAAGTGTGTATGGAGGCTGTGTACGTCACAGCTAGGGCTGCATGAACAAAGGGATTAAATGTCCAGATTGTAGAAAATTGAGTAGTAAAAATGCACGATCTATATACCAAAACCACTTCATTAAGCTAAAGTTTTGTTGCATAGTGGGCCTCCTTAATAAGGTTAAGGTTGTGGCAAATGATGTTTGTAGATGTGCTTGTGGCTAAGTTTGTCTTTATGTGCACAATGTTGGTGATGGGGTTGGGCCTTGTAATTTATTCTTGCCCAAGGCTTCACATTTGTTAAGTGTGGCTTCGCAGAAAACCGTTTTCTGTATGTGTGCAACTGAGAGCAGAAATCCACTCTCTTAATTGTAGACATTTTGAACAACATCTCTGCTGTATTGTGTATGGGACATTTGATGGTGTTGGTGATTTAACAGATGTCAAAGAAGTCAAGTGCTACGTGTATACAAAATTGATCCTCCTAAAAAAATATATATATTATTAGGCCCTAGCCTCAATGTTTATTTGAAGTAGCCAGAAATATTTGAATGGCTTTTTTTTTAACAGATAATATGATATAAAAAACATTCAAACGCAAGAAAAATATAAACAAGCCATTGTTGTAACCCATATCTTTATGATTAATTTAGGCTATGCATGTGGCAATGAAATGGTTTTTTTTATTACTATTTTAAGATGGCAAAGTTTTTTGCTACACCGTAATGATGAGATTAAACATAAATGATGACTAATTTAGGTGGAGAGGAAACAAGAGGATATGAAGTTCCTAACATAAAACTTATATTTACACAGATTTTTTTTCTTTTTAAATATAATTCACTGACCTGAAATCCTTATTCCTGGTTGATTTTGTATATTTAACAACACAGATCTGAAGTTGCAAAATGTTGGGTTGTTGGGGTTGACGTTTATTAAAGAATAGACTGATAACAATCTTGATTCGTCTTCCGTGCTCGATTCATTTGAATTGTCCAATGGTTTTCCTAGACTGTCCTTCCACAGAACTGTAGGCTTAGGATACCAACCGTTAGATTCACACACAGCTGTAATGCCTTTATCCTTATCAGTTATTCGAATCACAGGGCCAGTGCCCAACACTGTAAATCAGAACAAAAACAACATGACGTTGGGTTCTCTTGTTATCAAGCCCAGGTAAAGTATAATATATAGTTAGAGTATAATTAATAATGTGGCTTGTTGAAGCTTTTTTTTTTTCAAAATTGTGCCAAGATTTCTTTGATTTTGCCTGTTTAAACTTGTGGTGGTCAAAGGCAGATCCCATGATGCTTTGTTGGCCTTAAAGGCACAATCCAAGCAACATAACCACTACAGTGTTCTGAAGTGGTTATAGTGCATGCCTCTGTGAAAGCCAGAAGCTCTTCGCATTGACTTAAGTCTGACAATACGGGCTTAGGTCACTGGCTGAGAGTTATCATCTGACACTTTCAGCCAATGCGCACAGCAGGAGCATCCAGCTCCCCACACTAAAGGGGGAGCTCCATAGCACTCCTGGCACCAATACAGTGCTCTATAGTAGTTATGGTACTCTGGATGTTCTTTTAATGTTGGTTAAGCCACATGGGAGGTATAGTTTTTTAATATTTATGGATCTATAAGCCACCCCTGATTTAGAGCATTACACCGCAGGTCTATAATCACGCACACAACTGTTGCAGAGCTGGACTCTATGACAAGAGTTCTCTTTAACTCAAGCTATGGGATGGGATTTTTACCACTGTCAATATGAAAAAAACTACTGATCAGTACCAACAGAGACCTTTATTTATCTGTGCTTGTTGAATCCAACCCAGTTTTACATATATCCTGACTGGAACATACCTGGTAAATCCAAGCACCACTGTATAGCTACATGAACACTGTTGTGAATCCCTGATTTAGATTACTATCTTTGTAGATGTTAACCAATGCATGTTTGGGCAAAAACAAAACGAACATTATCTCCAAAAAAATCAAACACAACACAAGCAGATATGTGATTAGCAAGACAAGAAAGGGTTGAAAATTCCCATGAACTAATCCACTCAACCTCAAGAAAACATTTGCATCAGTGATGTCAAATACGTACTCTACATGGTTTCTCTGGCAGAATTACCGAATGATAGGATTTGTGATCTAGAAATATTTGTGAGGGTGAACACATTTCAACGTCCTACTTTTAAAGTTGGTTTTCTTGCAGTAGAATGCATTGGTGTGTCTACTGAAGTTATTTTGTGATGTCTACTGTTGTAGGAGAAAGCTTGGATTTTCAAAATATTTCATGAATTAATTAGAATATGTATATGTGTTCATAATCAACGAGTTTGCTTTATCATATAAAAGAGCACAAGAACAAAAAAAAAAAAACCTTACTGGTTAATATGAGCTCCAAGCTGTTTTCATTATAGTAATTATCAGACTGAACAAAACAATAGTATATGCCGTTATCAAATGGGCCAACATCACGGATTAGCAAGGAGATTTCCCCCATTTTTAAATGTTCTGTTACAAGCTTTGTTCTTCCTTTGTATCCTTTTATTTGACTTCCAGTCACCTCTTGACCACGGCGATACAAAAATGCAAATTCTGTAGATGGAGATCTAGAAATTCCAATCTCCATATTTTCAGCATTGATTTCAGGCGAGAGATGAAACGATAAAGTGACATCTGAACCAATTGTAGCGCTGATAGGTGTTTTAGTAGCAATTACAGTAAATCGATCTGTGAATGATAGTGAATATAATTGACTGTTCTAAGTGAATTCAAATTCATAGTAATAATAGCTAAAAATGGCTATATGCTACTTTGGCATTAAATGTGAAGTTCGTGAACAACCCTGAGTATTTAGAGTTAGCTGTATACATGTTTGAGTGGGGTAGGGGTAGTCTGAGGTTAGAGAGGTACATGCCTTCAATGCATTGAGGACTGCAACTCTAACTTTTAAAACCTAGATTTTGGATCCACATACATTAACAAAGAAACCAAAAATCACTACTGATTGAATGATAGACATTTTAGGACTTTCTCCATTTTAAATTCTGTGAGTATTTATTTGTATTTCTCTTATTTTAGATATCACAGTAGTTTAAATATGAATTCAAATAAACATCTCTAATATGCAAGTTTGCAGTGTATACATCTTCACTGATCAGTTATTTACTAAAGCGTGATTTGCGAACAAAGTGAATTTCAACATATTAGGTAAAATTAGTTGATCTGAATCTTCACCTTGAAATTTTCAATTCACTTTTTCAGTGAACAACCTTTGACTTTCTGAATATGTCATATGTATCTTTGCTAGACTCTCATTTCAGATTCCTTGTGCCATATATTGTTACAATGATCTGATCATTGGATACTATCAATCAATAATATCATCTGGTCAGTTGCTCATCTGAGTAGAGTTTGGAATCTAACTATAAAACCTGTATGTCCATTGCCTGTAGCCAGGATAAATGGGATATGGAATTACATCTACTATATGTCATAGTTCATTTTTTTTAAATCTGATGTTTTTCAGTCATTTTAAAAAGGAGAATATATATATATTGTTTAAATAAAAAAATATAGGTTTTCTTTTCTTATCTCTCATGATACTTAGTTTTCTTTTAAAATGTTAACTTTAGAGTTAGCAATTGCCATCACAAACCACATCAATCCTGGCATAGCCAGGGCAATCGTTGCTTTAAAGAAGGAGAAACAGAACTTATTGTTTTAGTTTTCTTCACTTCCCAGGCTCACCAAAAGGTGCAAAGAGCAGAGCTCATAACAGTGATTAACATGGAGTCAAAAAGGAGGCACTCTGGTTTTGAATAGAGGTAACTAGTCGGATGACTTAATGTACAAACTCAAATTTGTTAAAAGAAGGGAACAGTAAACAGAATTAGGGATAATAGCCTGCGTTATACAGAAATGGTTTTAGTTTTATTGGCTTAATTGTTGGCAAGCTGCTGCTGATAAAGTAATTGCTGTAACTCACATACCTGATAGAGAACGCTGGATTTGAGACAAGAATAGCAGTAGAATCAGCAAATAAGAAGAGTGATTTGTTAACCTACAGAGAACAAACACATTGAATTGCAATACAAATAGCAAATGATAAACCGTTTACATTTGAAAAAGAAAAAATATTCTAAGAAAACTAGCATAAAAAAGAATTGCTCAAAATATTATTTTTCAAATGATGTAAAGTAATGTACAATTTGTATTTTATTATTATTCTTGAATCAACCCTATGCCTACTCAAAACTTTACACAGACTGTTGTGGGGGAAGCACCCCTGCACTGGGCTAGAAGTGCCAGCAGCGTATTTAACACCATCAAAGCCCCTCCCCAAACAAAAACAAAAAATCCAAAATAAACAAATCACAAATAACCCACTAAAAGCATGCATGCATTTAATTATACATTTTCCATTGGAGGTATATCCAAAAACAGTCTTACAAAAAGTGAATATCTCTAGTCTGAAGCCTTTGCAAGCCCTCCCCTTCTAATCCAGTCTAGACTTTCTGTGGCTGTCCAATCACAGCCTTTTCAATGCAGCTAAATGATACATTTGGAATGCAGGTTCTTTGGGCAATTGATTGTCCACTGAGCTAAACAACCAGCAACTAAGAGAACCGGTGATCTGATTGACAATCAGGGGCGTGTAACAAGGTTAATTTATAAAGGTGACAATTTCTATTGAAATCTGCACTTTTTGTAAAATTTAAAAAAAAGAACCAATGAGCAGCACCCTGTAAATTGCAGGTACAAATTTAAACCTTTCTAAAATAGTTTGAATACACACAATAATGGAGGCACCAGAACACTACTGGCAGCATAACCACTACAGAACTCTATAGTGGCTACAGTGCTTGGAGTGTTCCTTTAAGTATTCTAGATCAGTTTATCTTGTTATATTTTATATTAAAGCCTACTACTGTACCTGTTTTTTTTATTTTATTATTATTTATTTTTGCATGTCATTAGACAAAGATCACAATCCAGGGGGAGGGGAGGGTTGGAATGCCGTCAAGCGGAATCAAGCAGGAACGTGCGGAAACATCCCGCATGGGGTCCTAATGCACCTTTTCCAGTCGGGGAGACCACTCTAAAGAGTGTCATACCGGGGGCAGGGTTCGGGATTCTGTTTACCGGGTTAGGAGGCAAAGAAAAAACTCCCGGCTCCCGCATCCCTGAAGCTCCACCCGCATGAGCTCCCCACCCCCTACACCGGTGAACGCCGGTGCCACCCCTCCAGTTCCCAGGAGTGCTAAATTATCTATGTATCATGAGATCTACTGTACCTGTTTTGAAGCATCATGAAAACCTTTTTGAACAATGAGACAAGGACCTATAAATGTAGACAACAAAGACGTTTGAGTAAATTTAGAAGCAATATGATCATTGTATTGTATATTGCAATATAGGGGATAATCTATGTGGTCTAATGATTTTCATAACCTCAATATTTCTATAAAGGACGGACAAATAAAAAAATGTGCAAAATTACATTTTTATGAAATCTACCATTAGCTTATTTGACAGCTGTACTTCCCATGTTCCAAATAAATAATTCCAAATAAATATTGCACTGTGATTTTTGAAAACATGTCCTTGGTAGTAAGTAAATATACATTCATTCCAAACAGTTAAAACACTTACAATTTTGTTGGTGAGTAGTTTTACTAGACTCACATATAATTCTGGATGTGATAAACAGTCCAGTTGTGGTTGTTTTTTTCCTGTGAGTCCTCTCAATTGTGCATTATCACAATTCCAAACCTTTACACTGTACACCATTAGTTGGGTTTCTCAAC